ATAATTGATATTGTGTAATAGGAAGAAAAGGTCTAAAGGAGCAGGGGAAGTGGGAGAGGAAGGGGAAAGGAAAGAAGGAAAAAGAAAACATATGAGAAAAGGGAAAAAATGGAAACAAAGTCTTTGTAAATAGGGAAGGGTGGAGGGGGTGAAGGGAGGGCAAGGGAAGGGGAAAACAAATAAGAACCAAGATCCTCATGTAATGGTACAAGATCCCAATGATGTATGTAACTGTATTTTATACCTAAAATGTACCAAAAACTTAATGGGAAAAAAAGAAGAAGTTGGATACGAATTTCATATCAGTGTATTCTTTATAAGTCCTTTGAAATTTCTTTTGAGTCTTGGTACTTGGAAATGATTGCATTTCTCTCAAGAACTCGTTTCATCTTTCTTTCTTTCTTTCTAACTAATGGGGACTGCAGGTTATGTGACTCATTGCATTAGCTGCTTGGAAACTAAGAGCTACATTTGTGTCCCTTGTTGCAAGGATATAGATATAAAACATTTTTTTAATATTTTTATTTTTTGTATTTTTTTAGTATTTTTTTATTGACCTCCTTTGGGTTTTTTTGCCTTTATATTTTCTCAGTATTTCTGCCTTTTTGTCTTATATGTTGCATATCTTTTTATACCTCCTTAAAACAGGCAGTGTTTTAATAAATATAAATTCCTTGCATTGTATGCCACCAAAAATGAAGTGTGAAGTGTGGTATTAATTTTTAAAAATTAAATACACATATGTAAATGCACACACATAGTTTTGAGTACCAGCGATTTCCTATAACTCTGGATCATCCATTCAGCTCTAGTGAATAGTATTTTGTGCCAAGTACTGTTCTTGGCCCTTGGTACATCAATTAGTGAGCGCTAACATCAGAGACCATGCATTCCAGTAGAGCAGACACTAACAAAATAACAGCACATGTAGTAGGTTACTGATGTAGATAACATATCAAAAGATAATATATGCTATGGGGAAAAAGTCAAGCATGATTTGGGAGATTGCAGGTGAAGGGAGTGTAGGAGTTGCAACATTACACAGAGGGATCTCAGTGGACCACACTGAGAAAATGCCATTGATGGAGGTGAGGGTATGGATTATGTGCCTGTCTGAGGGAAGAGTATTACATCAGAAAAAAAAGCAAGTAAAGGTCCTCAGGTAGGAGTGTGCTTATCAGGCTTAGAGAATAGGTATGAGACCAGACTGACATTGAATGAGTGAGAATGGCAAAAAGTGAGTTGGGGAGTAAATTGTATAAGCAATAGTGGGAAACCTGTGGTATGCATGCTGCAGCGGGCTGTTTGTATCTAAAGATTTGCCATCACTGGCACACGGGCTTGTAGATTATCTTCTTTTCTGTGTGACAGCGCCATGATAATTTCAAGTATAAAAGAGGCATAATTTCACTGGCATTTTAAAAGGATCGCTCTCTTCATTATGCATAGCTTTCAAAGGAGTTGATAATTATTTCTGCAATTTTAGGTACATCACAGCTAATACTGACACAGAAGAACAGAGTTTTTCAGTGCCTAAGCCATTTAACACAGAGATAGAGGACTTAAAGTTAGATATCCTTCTTCAGAAGGCAGATCATTTACGCATGACTCAGTCTGGCAAGATGGAGAGTTTTGAGCTACTGTGTGAGCACAAAGAAAAGGTAAGAGCCACGTGACAAGAGCATGTTTATTTAGTTTTTATTTTACTTAATCTGTTAACCCATTCGCATTACGACCGTACTAATGACGTTATGTCCACATAACCTAAGAAACTAATGTGAAATTTTTCTGTAAAATGGCTAAAACTTTTCAAAAGTAAATATAAGATTTAGTTAGACTAACTTAAGGTAATAAAAATAGGAACTAGGCTTATAACCTTACAGATTTACTTTTATCTGATTTTTTGTTATTTTGTGTAATTAAGACTTATTTTACAACTGATAAAGAAGACATTAGGCCAAGGCATATAGTGCATCTTCTGTGGGGAGCAAAAAAAAAAGGTATTTTAAATTTTCTACGTTATTATCAGTATAATAGCTATCAGTGTGTAAAGCAATTTCTCCTAGTGGTCATTTTGCAGTGTTTAATGTTGGATCTGAATTGAAAAGCCATTTCCTCTCACCACCACCACTTTAAAAAGGGAATGGGGTGTATACAATATCCCAAAAAGAAATAAGCCTCTTTCTTTCCCATGTACAGTTTAAATTAATATTTGTTCAAGAACTTAGCCACACCAAACACATTGCCTAAACCCTAAGTATCCTAAGTATCAATACATACTTTATAAATGTGCCAAAGCATCACATGGTAACCCATAAAGATATACAATTATTGCCTACTAATAAAATTTTTTAAAACTTAAAAATCTCCACCCAAATTTTTAAAAGCATAGTGGAAGACAATTATAGTCTGACTGACTATACATTACCGACTTAATCTAAGATGTAATTTTATCTTTTTAGTTTAAGGATGAAATAGAATTTGTGTGGCGGTTTGCTCGAGCTTACGGAGACATGTTTGAGCTGTCCACAAATACATGGGAGAAGAAACATTATGCTAATATTGGTAAGTATTTTTTCAAGATAGATTATTCTCAAGCAGTAATTCCAGTAAACTATTGCTGGAGTTTTAGGGTGAAAGCCCAGCTCAGGGGGTCCCCACAGACCAGGCTCTATCCCAAAATGCCAGTCAGAGTGATGAGAGGAGCAGTGGTGAAGGACAGTAAAAGAGCTTTAATCAGCATTGCCATATCAGGAATGATATGTAAACAGGTTCAAGATCTGCCTTTGAGGAACTAACAAACTTTGAGATTTTACAGAAAATATGAACAAAAGCAAGGGTTGGGGGTTTGCATAGCTGGCAGGGCAGGTGTCTTAGTTACAGTACTTTCTCATTGCTGGGGAAAAATACCTGACCCCCACAAGTTGAAGGAGGAAAAGTTTATTTTAGCTCACAGTTTATAGAAGTTTCAGTCCATAGTTGGCTGGTTCCAAGGCATGGTGGCACAGCAGAGGAGAAATAGTTCATGGCATGCAGGCAGGAGGTAGCAAAACAGGGAGCCTTCCTTTCCCTTTTTATTCCACTAAGGCTACAAGCCCATTGGTTGGTGTCACCCACACCCAGGTGGTTCACCCCATTACCCACACCCATACCATGGGTTTACCCATGCTAAACCAATCAGAGAACTAATCCAGAGTACTACCATCAGAGGACTAATCCACCCATACCATGGTTTACTCATGCTAAACCAATCAGAGGACTAATCTAGTTATTGCACACCCATGATACAGCCACCTCCCAAAAGCCTCAACTATGAGCACATGAGGCTTAGGGAGAAATTTAGATAGGAGGACAGTAGGAAATCATGGTCAGGCCATAGTCTGGTTGATCATTATCTTGGGAATGATTCTGGGAGGTGGCTTTGGAGAAGTCCTTATGATTTGAGGGGAGGGAACAATCCAGTTCCCATGAGATGATTGCTCTTATTTTGGGGCCCAGCTTCAGTTCTGTCATGAGGCGATCTGTATGTGAGGTTCTGATTTTCCTGGAATCCTAGGTTACTGTAAATTTAGAACAATGACTGGAGACTTAGGTGGTGCTCCAGAGGTTCTGAAACAGGATGTTGTAAAACCTGGCAATTGAGGGCCGGGGACTTAGCTCAGTGGTTCCATCACATGCCTCGTAAGCGCAAGGTCCCAAGTTCAATCCCTGGTACCAAAAAAAAAAAAAGCTGGCAATTGAATGTCCTGCAAATCTTGAAAATACTTTACTCTTATCTTGGTGTCCTAGTGTTGAAGAAAGATGAGATATGTTAGATAAAATCAGGATTAAGAAATCTGTATGAACAGTTTTTAAATAGATACTCCTTAAGGGATTACCTACATACCTACATAAATACAGAGCTGAGCAAAGATCAAGTTTTGAGATACTGAAGGAGACAGATATAAAAATGAATGTAGACATGCCAAGCTCCATCCTGTTTTTTGTTACCTATTGTACATGTGGAGGCCTAGCATCTAAGTCCATGTTATAAATCCCCCACTGTCTAGTCTGTTCCTCAGCCTGGAAAGAATGAGAATTCTGGCCAACCGGGCTTTGCAAGTTTTCTGGTAAACTATTGTGAAAGAAGAGAATGAAATGAGAATTGAGTTCCTAGAGTGCCTAGTCACATCTAGAGTTCTATTTTAAAGGACAATTGTCTTTTCCTTCTAATCGTGTGTGTATGATGTTTGTTTTACCCTGGTAATAGCACATTTGCCTTTGTTTATACTTCTCTACTGAGTGTTTAAGACCCAATAGGTAGGCCCTATGAGGGGAAAAAATTAGCCTTTTTTGTTTCTACTATTAGGGTCAATCAGTGTTTTTCATAAAGGTTACTTTTGGTGCCTTGATGGTAACCTGTTGGCTTCTTTAGTTTTTTCCCACTACACATTGTATCATCTGTCGAGATAAGTTTGGGTCTTGCTGACCAGGTGACTTTCCTTGAAAGTGCTGGGGACATGCCCCTCCCAATTACCCTAGCTCTTTGTAGAATATAACTGCTTAGCTCCTACTCTCTGAGGTCTCCAAAATCCCCCTGATTCAGAAATTAGGTGACTCGGGTGAGTTGCAAGCCCCCTTTTTAGGGACCCTGTTATCCCCTGGGTGGTGGATGACCTTGGAGGGTTAGGGCCAAAATTTTATGTATCCTCTTAGCCCTTTCACCCACCTTGCTTTCGGCCTCCACATCTTGATTATTGAACATCACAAAGGTCATTTCTACCAGTTGTGAAGTGGGAGTAGTGGGTTTTGATGTTCCCAATGGTCACAGTTATCTTAGGACTTTGGGAGCGGTTTACTTTGGCCAATTTTGAATTAAGTTTTTCCCAATGCTGTTTTTAGAACTGAATTTGTTAGGGGATTGTCTGTTGACTAAAGCAAGTGTCCATGCCGGGGTATACTTTGGGTCAGAATGTGTTGCTTATAAGGATTCCTTCTCTGAGCAGCACCAATGGGCTGGATATTCCCTTTTCATGTGTATTGGAAAGCTGTAAACACCAAAGGGTATAAAGTAGCTCAAAGTGTGTAGTGACCACTCCCTTACACAGACCTCCCAGATAAGCTCAGTTCTTCCTAACCCGGGAACAATGTATGTTTTACTGAGGTTGTTCCTTATGATATATCATAAGTCAGTTACCCTGATACCTCCATTAAGACCCTAGTCACCTGGGGTCACCCAGAGAGGGGAGACCCTCATGTAGCTAAGTTTCCAAAAGGACCACTGCTACCAGCTGTCAGAATTGTTTGTAGCCTGTATCAAGCCAATTAGCATAAACAGAATAATGGACAAAAATCCACATAAAATGATTACATTAAACAACAATATCAAAAACACAGATTAATGATCAAGCTATAAGAACACATAAAACAATTACATTAAATCAGAGTGTACTTTCAGGTACATAGACCGTATTGTATTATAATAATAAATCATCTTTTTTCTTAGTCAAAGGTTTGTAGCTATAGTCAGCCAGAATTCTCCCTAGGGGGTTTCCTGATAGTACAGACTTAGTATTTCCCCTTGTTATACAAGCTACAGTAGAAATCTCACAAATACACTGGCTCCTTAACATACCTTTGTTTCTTCTTACCATATTTTGTATTTTGTACCATAGTTCCTGCAGAATTTCAAGTTTCTTTTTAAATAAAACATATGGCCTAATTCCAGAATAGCCCCAAAGAGCCCAGACAGCAAAGAAATAAGAAAGAGCAAGGTCCAGTGTGCACAATCATAAACAAGTTACCAGGGATTTTCATCTAAAGGCTTGTAAATTCTAAGGCTCATTTTTTGCTTCACCAGTGTAGAAAGCAGCCAGCCAGTCCTGCCCTGAGTTTAACAGAAGTGTGGGACCTATTCATACTTTCCCCTTCATCTAGGGTCATCTAGCTGTGAGTGATTACTGTAACATCCAAGGTGTGTGCTTTCTCCTAGCTGGCTCGTCAAATTTGTTACCAGTATTTCATGGCAAATGCCCCTGCTCTGGAGGTACCAATAGATCAGACTTGGCCTGATTGATCCCACACCATCAATCAAGATGAAATGAGCAATGGGAAAAGGACAAGAAAAGAATTTTAATCAGCATGACCATACCAGGAAGGTCAGATAAAGAGATTCAAGATAGATCTTTGAGGAGCTGTCAGAAACTTTGAGGCTTTATAGAGAATAAAGGTGAGGGTTGGAGGTTTGCATAACTAAAGACTTACATAGCTGACAAGGTAGGTAATCCTGCTCAAGCCATCCTCCGGTTGATTATTATCTCAGGACTGGTTCTCTGAGTGCCTTTGGAATAATCTTTATGTCTTGAGGGGGCAACCTCATTCCCATGACATGATTGCTCTTGTTTAGGAGCCAGCCTCATTTCTGTCATGGAGTGATCCATCTGTGAGGCTGTGTTTTTCCTGGAAGCCTAGGTAACTAAAATGTTAGGACAATGAGTGGAAACTTCTGTGCATCACCATAAGAGATCTTTAACAGGACATTGTAAAAGCTGGCAATTGAATGTCCCTGAAAAATCTTGAAAATACATTATTACTGTTATCTTGGTGCCTCAGTCCTGAAGGAGGCTGAGATAGATTAGGTAAATTCAGAGCTAATAAACCGTGATCAGTTTTAGTTTTTAGAATCAGTTTTTAGACACATGCTCCTTAAGTGATTAACATGCATATGTGCAGAGCAGATCTAGGATATGACCCATAGTTTTAAGGTAATAAAGGAGACAAATATAAAAATGAAGATGCAGATTTTAGTTATCCATTGGGCATTTTGAGGGCCAGCTTCTAAGTCTCTGTTATAAAACCATTAATTTTAACTAAACCTAAATTATCTTAAACTAATATGTTTAATCTATTTCAATATATCCCGTACCAAAAAATATACAGTCTCAGAGCAGAAAGATTTTTAGGACTAAAGTATATATTCTTTTAAAATACAGTATCAAGGGGCCAGGGATTTAGCTCAGTGGTTCTGTTGCCTGCCTTGTAAGCGGAAGGTCCCAAGTTCGATCCCTGGTACCAATTAATAAATAAATAAATAAATAAATAAATAAATAAAATACAGTATCATATTAGAATAGGCAACGGATAGGGCCGGGGATTTAGCTCAGTGGTTCTGTCACCTGCCTTGTAAGCGGAAGGTCCCAAGTTCGATCCCTGGTACCAATAAATAAATAAATAAATAAATTTTAAAAATACAGTATCATATTAGAATAGGCAACTGATAGGGCTGGGGATTTAGCTCAGTGGTTCCACCACCTGCCTCGCAAGCGCCAGGACCTGAATTCGATTCCTGGTACCAAAAAAAAAAGAGAATAGGCAACTGATAAAACTCAATACTATCCTTTAGAATTTATAAAATTGCACAAAGACAAGTCATTACTTGGTAGTATGGTATTTGCAGAGCAATAATAGGCAGAAGATCATTGTCTCCAGTAGTAACCTACCTAACACATCTTACTTCCTGAAATAATTCCAGGGTCCACAAAGAAAAAACCTCTCAGAGTTCAGTTCATGTTTTTTCAACATGTATGTTGATGAAACAAGATTAAGCTTGAATTGATCATTGTTTAAGCTAAATGATGAGTACATGGTGGCCCATTTTACTGTCATCTGTACTTTTTTGTATGTTTTTGAAATTTCCCATATTAACAAAAACAAAACAGCCAGAATGTCAATTTTTGTTTTTCGTGGTATTATTTTTGCATTTCACCTTGACTCTCAATGAATGTCACAATGCTTTCATGCAAAAGCCCCTAACCACCATCTCTCTGAACTTCAACATAATAATTTGACATCACAATCCTTTTAATCCTACTTTTATTCCAAAGCCTCCATATTTCAGAGTTTTTCTTCTCTAAGATACCATGAGAAATAAAGAAGAGTCTAGTTTCCTATCAATTTCACCTCTGCAGAGAAAGTTTTAGAAAACTCATTGTGATACTCCTTCCTTCCACTTCGAGATTTCTTTGCTAAATGACCTCTGCCCTCCTTACTTCCCCTCTTGTTCTTTACACATTCATCATCAGCTTTATGGGACAGTTCTGTAGCAGTCCACTTTGTAACCCATATACACACGGGAATTCTAGAAAGGATAATTTTTAGCTTCAAGGAAAATAAACATTTAACCAAAGAGAACAAAGGAATTTGTCTGCCGATTTACTGAGAAAATCAAAGTATCCTTATGTAAAACTGTTTGATATTCATCAAGATTAATTACATTTCTTTCTTAAGCACCTGCCCTCCACTAGACATTATATTAGCAGGTAGAATAAGATTGCAAAAGCCAGGCATGATGATGCATACCTGTAATCACAGTGCTTGGGAGATTAAGGCAGGAGGATCATTGTGAATTTGAGCCGAGCCTATGCTACGTAATAAGTTCAAGGGCAGCCTGAAGAATATAGTGAGACCCTGTCTCAAAACCAAAACAAAACAAAAAGAATAAGATACCAAAATAGCCACGGTCTCAAAATAGACTGGGGAAACTTATGACTTTGTGTGGAGGGCCATATTATTCAAATAATCATCCATATGGAAGAAATAAACTGAATGAGTCTATTATTGCAGAAGATAGAGGGTCATAAGAACATATATAATGGAAAGGAGGATATAAAAGCAGAAGCTGGAGGTTCATGCAGGGAAGCCTTTCTTATGGATGTAACAGTTGCCCATAGGTGAGATTATTTTGAATCTCTATTTTAAAATGAGTTAGGAGTTTAATTACGAAACCAAGTAGTGAAAATGGAAAAGTCTAGAGGAAATTTGGGGACAAGGATGAAACATAGTATTGAAATAGAATATATTTTTTAAAAGACAGTTTATAGTACCAAAGAAAAAGGAAAAGTGCCTCAGATGTAGTCATGCAGATATTGAAGTAAATTTAAAAGGATTCCTTTTATTCATCCATTTAAGAAATATTAATTCAAAATTATTGTGTCCAAGAGCAATGTTAAAATAAGGTTTAGAGGGAGACAGAGAGAGATAAAGAAGGACATAAATATGATTTAAGATAGTGCCACACTAAGGAACCCAAGTATGGAAAGATTAATAAAGAAACAAGCAATTATAATTCTGTATATCAGGAGCATGTGCGTAGTAAGGCCATGACCAAGTACTGGAGCTGAGAACAAGAATCCAGACCAGTGTTGAATGCTGGATTCAGTATGAGGAAGAAGTGCTGAATGTTTTTTCTCATAATAGTGTTTGAAACTGTTATGCTAAGGAAAATTTTGCACACTAGAGAGTTTAGAATTCTTTTTAAAAACTCACAATGACACATCTGCCTGGCAAGTGCAAGGTCCTGAGTTCAAGTCCTAGTACTGAAAAAAAAAGTGTTTAACAATTAAATATCAATGGACAAAAAGAAAATAATAGTAAAAACCCACAATGAGTATATGATTATTCAGTACTTTTTTGAAATATTATAATTGGCCATTACTTGTATTCCAAATGAAATATAAATCTTATATTTAAAGGAACATTACACTACTATATTCATAATTAAGTAAGCAATATGAATGGCTCAAAAAGATCACAAAATACTGTTCTGTAAGAGAAATGTCTTTCCTTTGGGGCGTCAGCTGTATAAGGGAGCCTGGGAAAACAGTCTGTATATTGTCCAACTTCCTTTTATATTCTGATAGTGATGGACTTACCTCTATTTTAAGCCTGTATTAGGACATTGAAAGCTTTATTCATCTAACAATGTATCTAAAATTTTGCCTTAATTTTTAATGTTTTTACTATTAGTATGTTTTTAAACATTTAAAAAATTACTAACTCCTTTAATATTTGTCATCAATGTAATAACAGTTACTATTAAAATACTTTTTAATTTTTCTAATTTATGTAGATTTCTCCATGGGATAGTTCACTTAATGGATGGACTATATAGTGCATTCTTAACAAATTAACAAATAGGATTATGGTTTTAGAGTAAATGATCATTATTCATGAAGATTGTATCAATGATTTATGTATAAAGACATTATATATATATATATATATATATATATATATATGAATCATTGGATAGTTTCTTCAAGAAAAAAATGGAGCAGAGGGAAAAAAGGCATAAAACAAAGTAGGGCCATTTTTGAGTCTCAGAATGTGATTCTCTTTTGTTGCAAGCATTTTGATTTTTCCATCCATTAGACAAGCCTCTGTCCAAAGTAAGTTTTGATGATAAAAGTTATTTTAAAACAAGTAAAATGATTTGGGAAAATCATTTATATTGCTGAGTTTGCCCAGTATTATGAATCATTAGACAAGAGCTTCTTAGGGAGCCTTCATTGCTCATTTAGACAGAGGCGCTCACTAGCCTGTGCCCATTTTCTGTTTTACTATTATTTTTGGCATGTAATTTACTTATTCATCAGTCTGCTGCCTCCTGAACTGTGAGCCCTTGGAAGTCAAGGAATGTCTCTTATTTGACTTTTTATTCCCATATGTTCACAAAAGTAAGGGACTTAGGCACTCAGTAATTGTTGCTTGACTTGATAAAAAAATTCCTAGTATGTTTTGAAGTAATAACTGAATGACCTTTCTTGCACTTGGTTGAATCAGCTAATTCAGTGGATGTTATATGTGAGTGTTCATCAGAATCACTGGAGATACATTAAAACACAGGTTGATGATTGAGTGAACTCCCAAGTTTGTGACTGTGGCTCAAATGTGCTTCTAACGTGTTTCTGGGTGATGCTTTTGGTCTTGGGACCATATTTTAGGAACCACTGAATTCAAGAATTTACCTTCTAGCAACTCACAAGAAGGTACTAAGCATAACTATCTTTATCTTTCAGGAAAAACATTAGGTGAAAAAGCTATTACTAGAGCACCTCTGAATGGCCACTGTCATATGTGGTAAGGAGACTCGATTTGTGAAGTTTAAAAAATTCTAATATGCCTCTTTATCTATTGTGCTTGATTTCTAAAAATATGATTGATCATTGATCTTGGTAGAAAAATGTATTTAGTAAATAATACAGCAGCTGTTCTTGTTTATTTTTATGTACTTTTCTCTAGATGTATTTTAAATGTAATTAAGATAAACTCTCATTGCACTTTTCACAAATGAATCTACCAAATCTAGTGGCTTTGAAAATGACAAATTATAATTAAATAACTTTAAGATACCATTTTGTTTAAAAACACTTACTAAACTGATGCCATATTTCCAAACATGAGGTAGAAAGAATGCTTCAAATAATAAAAAGCACATTGAGTTCAATCCCCGGTACCAAAAAATAAGCATATTAGCCATTTTCTTCTGATTTGAGGAGTCATGGGATACAAATTCCACAAGCCAAAGAAATACTGGTTACAAGAAAGCTCAAATAAAATGCATTTAATCAGTTGGATGGGCATAGGTGAATATCCTTGGAATAAGAAAAAAATATTCATGATTATATTTTGGACCCTTATATTATTTTAGGACTATAAAACACAAACAAGAAGAAATATTTTTTTAATTATTACTATTCCTTGTGATTATATTTTGACATTGTGATTTAGTTCCTTAGTTTTTTCCCCCCCTCACCAGCAGTAGAAATAACTCAAGAGGCTAGGAAGATTCAATAATAAAGTAATTTATGATCGTTTCCTCAGTGTTAATTTGCATGACATCTGCCCTTCTTTGGAACTGTTTTATTCCCCTACAAGCACTCAGGCGAAAATCCCTCTCATTACAGCTTTCTTTCTACTGGTCCCCATTTGTCCCTCAGGAAACTCATTTTTGTCCACCGAATTATTTTCCAAACAGATTTGTTTCGTACTCTGTGGTCAGCAGGGGGAGCTCCACTCACAAAGACTTGGCAGGAATCGGGTAAAGTTTGATCCCCCACGTTCTAAACACACACACACACACACACACACACACACACACACACACACACACACACACACCCAAAAGATGAAAAAGTCTTTGGAAGTTACCTTTACTTGAGTTAAGATGAGAGTAAGCCTAGCTCCTGACTTCTTTTATGGGCTGGTGTGAGGTGAAACCTATCAAAATTCTCAGACCCTCAGTCTCTACGTCCTTCTAGTGAAGTCTGCCTTCTCGCATGTAGCCTGGAAATGGCTAAGGGGCAAGGATGGAAGAACCTATGAATCATTTCCCTAGCACGCCACCCGTAGGTAGTAGAATATCTTGATTTAGGAATTAAAGTAGAGAAAGTATTATTCTTCCCATTTGCACTTATGTAAAAACTAAGAAAAATTTTGCAGTTAATATCCTGGTACAGATTTTTAAGATCACGTCCCAATTATGTAAGGGTCTTGGCTATTATTTCTATAATCAAATTTACCTAAATCATTTAATGTACATAATGCTAATATATATACTAATAAATTTATGTATGTAATAAGGTCTTCTAGTCTTCTGCTTTTAGGGGCATGTATAATTAACTTGTGCTGATCACGTTATACTTCCTCTGCATCTCTTTTGAAATTGAAGGTCTTTAGGAGTTGGCTATCCAGATTAGGATGCAGAAAGAACATCCATGTTTTGCTCTTAACTCTGCGCTCCCGCTCCCCTCCCGCTTCCTTTCTCCTCTTTCCACCTGTCCCTCCTCCTCCCCGTTGCTATCCTTCTGCTGTCCTCTTCTCCCCTACATTCATCTATACCCATGAAAAATGACATTAAACAGTCTACTTGATGTTAATTCTCAGTTTGAGGAGATTTATTGATGTGATTTTTCAAATTTCATAGAGAAATAATATCGAATCTTCTCTGAGAGTTTCATAATCTTGTAAGCATAGATCATGTGAACTTGCTCCTAGCAGGCTTCCCAGCCTGTCTTCCATTAATCTGGCTACTTCTTTATCTTTTCTTTCTTCTTTTTTTCTTTTTTGCTGTGAACTACATGCCTTGTTTATAACGGTGAGATTTAGCTCTGAGAGTAAATCTTATTAATATATACACAAAGTAATGACCCAGTTGTGCTTTACATGATTTCTTATCAGTTTTTAATTTTAAAATATTACAATCAATAGATTAATAGAAATGTAATAAATTTGAATATCAATTTAATCTTAATTCTTAGAATTTGTTACTAAATACAAAAGTACTCAGTATATTCAAAAGTATTCTATATATTCAATTAAATAGTAAAGTTTAAGGTGATGAAAAAAGAGAAACTTAAACTCTGAGAAATAAGAGTAAAATGTAGGTAAATTGATTCCGTAATCAATTGCAATAAAATGTTGACATAAAATCTTTTTCTTCTGGAATCTTTTCCAGTATGCTAAGACACTAATAAAACTTCTCTTTCATTTAACATAAATGACAAACTATGGCCTTCAGACCAAATCTGACAACCTGTTTTTGTAAATAAAGATTCATTAGAGCACATCTGCATATGCATTTGTTCGTAGCAGAGTTGAAGAATTGTAGAAGAGACTGTCTTGGCCTCAGATCCTAAAATAGTAACTATCTGGCCCTGGGGCAGAAGTTTACAGACTTGTAAACTACTTTGAAATAAAAGATGTACTCTCTTAACAATAATTTTCACAAAGGGTTGATATTTATGGGAAAATTGGGAAAAAATATCATTTTAAATATGTAGTTTTCATCTTTGTGTTTTCCAAAGTGAAATTGCTTTGCAGCTTTAAGGCTGCATAAGCTTTCTGTAAGATCCTGATGTTTTTGTTGTACCAGCCTAACATACTTTTGGAATCAAGAGCATAAAGTCACCAATGGGTTTGCAGTTTGTTGGCCAAACAGGGCTGGCTTTAATTACAAATAATGTCTTACATATTTGTTTTGTTCTACTGTTTGCAAATTATATCCACATGTATTACACACCAGCCTATTTCCATTTTCTAGAAATAAGCAAAGCCCACTGCATGCGTGTGTGTGTGTGTGTGTTGATTATTAACTAGGGCCACAAAATAAGTGGAAAAACAAAAGCCAGAACTCAAGTCCTGTATTCTTATGTGCACAGTTCTTCTTCTATTTGAGTATGCTGTTTCTGCTTTCTCATTATATAAGTAGTGTTGGCACTGAGTAAAAACTACCGCAGGGAAACTAATGAAGTTAAATTAGTAGTTGTTGAAATAGTATTGCCAACTAGTAAGGGTTTATCCAATAACAATGCAAAGAAAATACAGAACTATAGTTCTGTAGTCATAATTTTTACAGTGAGAATGACCTGTAGATGGAACTAATACACCATATTGTGAATTAACTTTCTTCAGAGTTCCCATCAAGCTGAGAATTTGAGAAATAAAACACTAAATTATACTTTTAAATGAACAATACAAAAAAATTAAAATTAAAACACAAGCATGCACAAAAGTATAAACTGATTGGAACAAAAGTGATGATCTTTTAGGGGAAAGTAGCCAGGTGATCTTTGAATTATGGCATATAAGAAAATAAATAATTTCAATTTAAACAGATTTCATAAAATATGAAAAATGTAAGACTAGTGAGAGATTGTTTAAACAGAAAAATTTTGTATTTTGTGTAATAATATTAGTAAATCATGGGATTATTTTTCTATTTTTCTTCACTCAGAATAACTTCGAATATGTGGAGAGAGCAAACTAAAAGCTTAAAAATGTGGATAAGTTTTTCAGAAAACAGAAGATTGATCCCATCAGTATTTTGTCCACCTCTTCCTTTTATTGTAGCACAGAGTTAATTGGGTTGTTTTATGAATCTCTAGATGAAGAAGTTTAAGTAGACCCAACATAGATATTTCTAAAAGTGCAACATAGTCAGTTTTTTATTTCTCTGCTGGTAGACAGAGTGGGGAAAAGGGCATAGCATGAAATTAAGCAAAACATTGAGGAAGCTTCATTTGTAACATCTTTGTAGACCACACGTAGAAATGCAAGCAAGCTAATGGGCTCCCATGCTGCCTGAAGGGCTTGTGCCTTGGCTATTCAACAGATCATTGTCATCCTGGGGTTGATTCTAGAGCCAAGTCTATCTTAGACCCCAGTGTATTCAACAGTTTTGACAGTGAATGAAAACAGAAAACATGCTTATAAAAGTTATAATTAATACAATATTAGAAGGAACCATTACATAATGGGGGAACAATAGTAATTCAAAATATTTTAACATTTTTTAAAAGATGCTGAACGATATGTGAATTAATAGCAATAAATGTGGAATGCCTAAAAATATTAGAGAAAAACAGATGAGAGTTTGAATAAAATATGAAGTTTAATTTATAGTAGTATGTTAACATGAGTTCATTGTGACAGTTGTATATCACTATTGGTACAACTCTGACAAATGTCCTGTAGTAATGTTACAATAGGAAAAACTAGGTGTAGGATATATGGAAATTGTTGGTACATTTGCAACTTTTCCATGAATCTAAGTCTATCCCAAAAGAAAAGTGTACTTAAACAGAAAATTATCTCAGGTTTTAAGTCCAAATAAGTTGGAAAATTATAATGTCCATAACAAAAATAGAGAGTTTGTGAAGGTAGTTGTGGGAAATTTTGGAAGAACTGGAGTTATTCTACAATCTAGAACTCTTTGGGAGAAATAATATCTAACAAAATGTCAGAAGGCATTTCAAAAGAACATAGTGGACAAGCTGGATAGAGCTATATCTGTTTTTAAAATGGAATGAATAATAACTTTCCAAAATCATCAGGCAAACTCTGGTAAACTCTACCACATATTTAAGTTGGTACCACATATACCAACTTTCTACACTCTCTTCCAGAAGACAGAAGCAGAGGGTATACTTTACAACTCATTCTATGAGGTCAGCACTACCCTATTAGGATATATATGAATTTTTTAGAAAACAGCTTTATGTACTAAACATTGCATACCATATAATTTACAAGCTTAATATGTAAGATTCAATAGTTTTTAGCACATTGACAGAGTTCTAGAACTATAACTACAGTCAAACTTTGGTCATTTTTATTATCCTAAATCAAAGCACTGTATCTACTAGCTCTCATCTCCCAGTCCCTCCCCTTAAGTCTAGGTAACCACTGAACTGCCCTCTATGTTTATAGATTTTCCTATTCTGAGAATTTGTTTATTTCTGGGTTTTTTTTCAAAATAGACTGTGTTCATAACAACAATAAAAACAATATATTCAAAGAAATTTAAATCCTGCAAAGTGAGTTCTCACACCACGTTAGAGTGAAACCAGAGACTGCCAACAGAAACACAAAGTACCTAGAATTTAATAGTGTTTTTCAATTTATAAGTCTGTTGACAATGTGTTTTCCACTTTGATTATGATTAGACTTTTTCTTAGAGTTTCTTTATGACTTTAATGTTGATGATGGCAGTTGTAGTAGCCGCTCACATTCAAAACTTCCTGCCGGGGATTTAGCTCAGTGGTTTCGCCGCCTGCTGCGCAAGCACAAGGACCCGAGTTCGATCCCCGGTATCCCCCCCCAAAAAAACTTCCTGTGTGCTAAGCACTGTTCAAGCACATTGCATGACCCACTTCACCCTCACAACATAGATATGGAATAGAGTGTTAGTATCCCCAGTTATAGATGACGAAACTGGCCTCATGTTAATGACAAATATTTATTTCTAGGGCCCTTGCGTCTATATTACTGCTTTTGTAAAATATTAATGAATGCTTTAGATAATTTTTACATGTTATATTTTGGTGGTATTTAAAAATTTATGTGATAGACACTATCTTTATCTTTTCAGGTATGCAGTTTTGTGTGGCTGTGTATCTCAATTTGAGGGCTTACAAAACAAAATCAACTATGGACATCACTTCAAGGTATTTCTTGAAATGAAAAATGTTTTAATGTGGCTATATATTTCATTAGCAGGTATAAAACAGATTGGTCGGCAAGGTAAGCACTAAGGATTTTTTATTTTTGTCATGTAAATGGTAAGAAATGAAATGGTACTCCAAATAGTACTGTGACAAAAAGAATGAAACTGTCTGGGTAATTAAATATTATTATTTCAGATCCTGAACCTATAGTAGATGAGTATTATGTTTTCAAAGATTAGCCCTTTGGTCATGGGCTCACCGGTATTGTACTTAGGACTGGGATTAGTTAAAAATTTCTGCATATCGACTTGGTAGAAGGAGTAGGATCCAATCTAGAGCTTAAACTCATCACGATAGATGAACAAAATCAGTAATTCACATAATCCCACTTACTATTTGCCTCCAATTATAATAGCCAATGAATAACTCTTCAGACTCCATAATGGCAGGAAGGAGAAATCAGTTTCTTATTTCCTAGCTTCCTGTAATCATCCTGGCAGTGCCAGAATAGATTCCTATCCCATCTAGCTCTGCTGTTTTTTCCTCTGTTACACTCTTCTCCAAGATATCTGATACATGTAAAGTCACCTCTTTGTTATTCACCAGGCAAGTCTTGAACAGATGAATATTTAGGTTGGATGTTTTCAATTTTTGTAATGGCATTTGGCTTTAAATTATATATACTTGTTGAATCATAGTCACACTTTTGGTCCTGGTGGTAAGCAATCATTTTTTCTTCTTCTTCTTTGGTATGGGGGATCAAACTTGGGTCCTTGCACTTGCGAGGCAGGCAGCAGAACCACTGAGCTAAATCCTGGCATAAGCAATCATTTTTGATAATTAAATTATTGATAATATTCAGTTATATTAATGACACAATTAGTTCAATATTCCTGAGACATTGTAAAACCACTTTAGAGATTACTGAGCTTTGGTATGATTTCATTCAGCAATAATCTGAAACTTGGAAAGTGACTTTTCCTTTGAATTTTTCTTTCAGGAACATCTAGATATAGCAATCCAACTTTTACCTGAAGAACCCTTTTTGTATTACCTCAATGGAAGATATTGTTATACTGTAAGTTGAATGCCTTTATTCATAAATCTTATTTTAATGGACTATGAATATATGATACATTTTATTAACATATTACTCTAAGAAGTATTATAAAATCAGTGTATATTTTTGAATGTGTGATGTATATATTATAATTTAATATGAATTTTTAGTTTATAACTATAATTTTAAATTTTACAGTATCTATTTTGTGATTTATATGCTTATATTTTAAATTACATAGAGTATTATCTGTGTGTGTGTGTCTGTGTGTGTGTAAATGTACACTATCCCTGGCTCTGTGGAAGGACTTCTTTTCACCTTGCAGTGTTTATTGAAAATAAATTCTGTACTAACTAATTGGTCAGAAGATAAACTTCAATTTTCTGGCCACAAAATATCTTAAAATATCATTTGTGTTGTATGTATTCTTTCTTTAAGGAACTTGATTTATAAGGGATATGTGATTTATGGATAAAGCTCAAATAAGGGCAACTGGTCAGCCTAAGACCCAGTGTCTTAAATAGCAGTGTTAGTTTCCAGAAGAATATCAGGATGTAAAAGTATATCTGAATAGATGCATTAAAAAGTTACCATAAAAAGGAAATGCTATTTGTAAATGAGAAAATTAGGATGCGCAAAAGAGGTAACTTTTTCATTAAGCCTGAAAGAGGATTAGAGATACAGAAAGAAGTTTGCTTTTATTAAACATCGATTATAGGCCACATGTGCATTTTACACTTTATATTTCTTCTTGAATTTAATTCTTGAAATAGTTTGTGAGAAAGTTATTTAGTATTATTCTAGTTTTAAAATAACCTGACTCTTTATGATAACAACCTTCTTGGCACCCCAATTTACTAGTATGTGAAAAAGCCAGCATCAATACTCAATTTTTCATAATTCCAGAATTTATACTCTTTCCATTCTGTCACATAGGAAAGGAACTTATGTTTTTATAAGGAGAAAAAGATTAAAGTCATATCATCTGTTTCTCCCATTTTTGTCCTGGTTATGATACTGCCATGTTAAATAATAGAATAATTATAGCACTCAGATTTTTAATTATCTATTCAGAGTTATAAAATACATAGTGATATCTCCATTCTCTTAAATATTGCAGTTAACTATACCATTCATTTGCTAAGGCTGTATTACCTTCCAATAGATCACATTTTTCATTTATTATTTTTTTTCTGTTAATGCCAACTTATCTGAAAGCTCTTGGAGAAGGTCCATATTTTACACTACTTAGTATACCATTCAGCATGAAGCTCAGTTCTTTGCACTTTCCATAAGAATCTCTAAAAGTAATTGTTGCTCGGGTAACACAATGAAAATAGAGAAAAATTACAGAGAATCAAGCATATGAAAAGCAGTAGTAATAATAGCTAACATGTGCATGGCTCATGTAAGCATTTTATATGATTGTAGACATTGACAGATTGTAGCTCACTTAATTCTTTCAATAACCCTACAAAGTAAATGATTTGCCTAAGGTCAATCAGCTGTTAAGTAGTAGAACAGGATTCAAATCCAGGTAGTTTGTTTCCAAAGTCATTGCTCTTCACTAGTCTCTCTTCCTACAAATTATAAGTAGAAATAAAAAATAGGAAGTATGAGAAGAAGTTGGAATTCATTGTTGCATGGGGAATAGGTTTTAGCAAAGGTATTAAAGCAAGAATGAACAAATATAAAGATTGTTTCCAGCATGTGCAGATTAGAGAGCTCAAAGCATATTAAACTTCACATTTAACAAGTTACTTAAATGACTGAACTTCATTTACACTCATCAACCTGGAAGAAATCTTAAAACTATAATGTTAAATGAAAAAAACACATCACAAAGGAGATAATACAAAGTTCAAAACAAAGCAAAAATAAGCACATCAATAAGTAAAGTTACATAGAAATGCAAATTTCTAAAGACTAGAGGATAATGGCTACCTAGAAAATTTGAGGATGGGATTAAGAAGGAAGACACTTGATGTGGGTGGAGGATATCAACTGTATCAATCCCCTTTAAGTATTCATTTTGGAATCAGTTTAATCTTTTATAATGAACACCCAATACTATTCATAATTTAAAAAATTAAAAAATTAAAAGTAAAAAACAAATGGCAATATGAAACTTAGTTTTGTTGGTTATTTATTTTTTTTAATCTCCTGGATTGTAAATATATATACTGGGCCCTCTGAACTCTCAAGTTAATATTTAAGGACAAGTATTTTTATTTATATATGTGGTATTTATGTGCACATACATACATATGTATCTACACACCTCTCTGAGGAGAGATAATCCATTCAAAGTTGAATAGCTTCTTAAGAGTGATGGTGCTCTGTATTTGCAGGTCTCAAAGCTCAGCTGGATTGAGAAAAAAATGGCTACTACTCTATTTGGAAAAATACCATCTTCAACGGTACAAGAAGCCTTGCGTAACTTCCTTAAGGTATTTTTTGTTGTTTTAGTTACTTTTCTCGTTGCTGAGACAAAATACCTGACATCCCAAGTTAAGGGAGGAAAGGTTCATTTTAGTTCACAGTTTGTTGAGCGTTCAATTCCTAGTTTGCTGGCTCCAAGGCAGGGTGGCCTGGCAGAGGGGCATTGCAGAGGAGAAATAGTTCATGGCAGGCAGAAGGCAGCAAAGTAGTGAGGAAGCAGCAAATGATGACAGCAGCCCTCTTTTTGTCCCTTATATTCTATCCAGGCTACACAGCCTTAGGGCAAGTAGCACTCACACCCAGAATGGGCCTTCCCATTATCCACACTGAGAACCAATCAGTGGACTGATTTAGTAATCACACACTTAATCCCAACATCATACCCTGGATCCAGCCACCTCTGAAAAGCCCCACCTATAACTGCATGAGGCTTTGAGGCTTTGGGGGGACATCTAGACATAAGCTGTATCATTTGTCAATTCATTATTTTCATATCAGACTGACTACCAACTGTACTGGTTCTTGCTACTCTTGTCAAAGAAATCTGTCTCTTTTCCATGTGTAGATCTCTAACTGAGATGCTCATTTGGATCTTAATTTTGTCACGTTCTGTGTTTTGTTTTGTAGTAGTAGGGTTGAATCCAAGGAGTACTGAGCTATATCTTCAGCCCTTTTATTAATTAAAAAAAATTTTTTTGAGACACAGTCTCACTAAGTTGTCCAGGCTGGCCTTAAACTTGGAATCCTCCTGCCTCAGTCTTCTGAGTAGCTGGTATCAGAAGGGTGTGCCAACATCTGAATGGTTTGTTCTTCTTTAAGCCTTTAATAATATAATTTGTGTTTCAAATTTACACTTCCTATAACAGCTAGTTATTCCCTAGGTCAGTGATCGAGAACCTTTTAGAGACAAATGCCCACCCAAATTGCAACCCAAAACCCACTTATTTATCACAAAGTGCCAATACTGCAATTAAACACAAATACTGAGATTTTAGTTTTAAAAAAGCAACATATTTTGTCTTAAAAGAAAAACAAATAACACCCATGCAATAGGTTTGCCATCACCACCCTAAGTCCTAGGAATAACAAGCTATTTTTTTAAAATAATTCAGCAGCCTATATAAAGTTTCATTATAGCAACCCTTACTACCAGTGTGAGAGAAACTCCCCAACACAAGTGAGCATGTGCAGAAACAGCCACACCCTTGTATCAGACTTGTTTCCAATACTGTACTCATAAGCATAATATAGGACCAGTTTAATCTTGTGTGTGTGTGTGTGTGTGTGTGTGAGAGAGAGAGAGAGAGAGAGTGTGTGTGTGTGTGTGTGTGTGTGTGTGGATTAAACCCAGGGAGCATTGAGTTATATCCCCATCCTACCCCTACCCCTTTTTTTGAGACCGGCTCTCTCTAAATTGCCCAGGCTGGCCTCAAACTTGTGATCCTCCCACTACAGCCTCCCTAGTAGCTGGGATTACAGGAGTGCCATCACATGCTGCAGAACTAGTTTAATTTTAGAACTAAAAGATACACAAGGAAGAGTTATTTTTTAAATCACCTTCTAAGTCATAGACATTTGTATTGAAGATTCTTGGAGCATCAGATCATACCAGTATTGTTATGATCTTAAAATATATAAAATATATAAATACATTTAAAATATATAATATATATAAAAACTGTAAAATATATAGTTGCTTTACTAATAAACTTTAAACAATATATAGGTGTGCACACATGTAAATGTGTAATATATCCCCTCATATAAACAACTTCTTGTTGGTCTAATCCTATCTCTTTTCTCTGAAACCAATATAAGGTGTTATATTTACAAGCTGAACAGCCCTAATCCAAAAATCTGAAGTCTGAAATTTTGCAAAATCTGAAACTCTTGAACATCAAGTTTTAGATTTTGGAGCATTTGGAATTTTAAATTTTTGGATTAGGAATGGCAGGTTAAGTCCATGCACATGTTCCAAAATTTAAGAAAAAAAAAGGTCTAAAATCTGAAACACTTTGGGTCTCATACTTTGAACACAGGATACTCAACATGTGTCAAATTGTTTTTTCTCCCACTTACTTATTTCAGATTTATAAAAATATAGGCAAAATCAGGCTGAATCATATTTTCTGATGATAATATTTCCATTGTATTTTAGGGATTGATTTTGCAAAACTGAGAGGGAATTTAGAGATCATATAGTCCCAGGTGACAAATAGACTTCCTCTGTCCAATGGCCAGTGGTTGCCTGGAGGACTTTGTGTGCAAATTAGTGTCCTGATACAAAGCACAAGCCCAACAGAAAAGAATGCAGGAAATAAGATCATAAAGGCCATACATTTCTTGTGTTTTTTATTTAATATGATGTTTTGACTTATAAAAAGGGAATCAAGGAACTAATTTGTTCGATCTCGCAAAACAATATATTTGATTTAAGAGTGAAGTCTAAGCATCCTCTTTTCTTCACCTTTTTTTATTCAATGAGAATTTATTCTTTCACTTTAAATTCTGTAAAAATATAGATCATGGTATATTTAAGGGAAATGATTTAAATAAGAGATACTGAGGGGTTTTTTAGATGGTATTTGAACTCAAAACTCATTTCCTCTTAATATCACAGTTATAACTGAGGATTGGGGTTTCAAAACATTGTATAAAAGTTCTTGAGATGCTCACATGCCTGAAATAATACACAGATGAAATCAAACATAGTAAGTAGCACAGTAATGTAGAGAATTAAGGAGTGTAAGCTCTGGAACCAGACTATCTGGCTCACTCTTGTCTCTACCACCTCCAGGAATCTCTCCTACAGATACAAGTGCACATGTGTAGAAGCATAGAGAAGCAAATATGTGATTTGATAATTATTGGTAGTAGAGAAAATTAAGAATAAATTTAAATGTTTGATGGGGAAATGCTTAATTTAATTGCTCTTCTTGCATAGTATGAAATATAGCTCTGAGACAATGATACAGATCTGTGCAGGCTAACATGAAACCATGTCTATGATGCCTTATAGGGAAAATACAAGTTTTGGATCCATGGATAGAAAATGATCCCAATATATGTTTTCTTTCAAAATCCAATTATTTATTTATTTTTTTGTTTGTTTCGTTTTTCCATACTTAACAAAGTTCTGATAGGGTTCATGTCACACTATTTATAGTGGTTATTCCTGGAGAATGAGATTGAAGTTGAGAATAAAAGTACAAAGGAGGGGCTGGGAATTTAGCTCAGTGGTTCTGCTGCCTGCCTCACAAGCGCAAGGACCCAAGTTTGGTCCCCGGTACCAAAAAAAAAAGAGTAGAAAGGAGAAACTTTCACATTTTAATTTTAGAAATGTCTGGCTTTTTTGCAACTTATAAAACAAGCATTTTGAGCTTAAATTTTTAAAAGTGTCCCTCTTCTGTTATGTTTTGCATCCCTCTAGGTAAGAAATCACAGTCAGATTGAGAGCTTACTTGCTTCCAATTACACAGCAACAAAATCTGGCTCTGAAGCAGAAATTGACTTGGAATCTAAAAAGAGCTCTCTAAGAATGATACCACAACTAAAAAATTCTAATCTCCTAGAGACAAGGAGCTGATATAAAAAAGAATATTAGATGAGAAGTAAAGTTCCTTCAAAATACTTATATCTGATTGAATTAGTTTCTAGGGTCTGCCTTTCTTCTGAAAGTACTTGACAAGAAGGACCTCTGATGTTACTCAACTCATATATAATTTGTTGAAATCATAAATAAATATTAATCTAGTGGAAGATGCTTGCTATGGAGTATCAGTCCCTCTGTACCCTCATTTCCTGAACAGATTGCGAAATGGATAGTACCTGCCCTGGGAACAGTAAATCAACAGTTATTTTTTTGTTTTTGAAGGACAAAAGAGAAAGGATAAAAATGGAAGTCTGAGGACAATGATTATATAAAGCAATCAGAAAACCTAAAATTTTCCAGTGCTTTGTAAGCTTTATGACCACACTGATAAATTTCATTTTAATGGCAAAAGCTATGTTTCTACCCAAAAGATACTTAAAACGATTCAATGGAAAACAACCTACCTAAGTTCATGGGGCCAGTTTGGATAATAGTATCTAATATTCTGAAATATATCCTCTTCACTTGTGGCTGTTATTCTTATAATATTTCCCTGTCATTCACTTGTCCTTTTTCTCTTCAATCAGGTTGAAGAAATACATCCTGGTTATTCTCTACTCAATTACATGTACTTGGCCAAGGTAATGAAAACCTCTCTTTAAATATTACTTTGAATCCATTACTTTAAAATGTGATTCCTTTTAATGTGATTCCTTTTCATTTCTAGTGTTATGTAGATCTTGAGGAAAATCAGAATGCTTGGAAGTTCTGTAATTTGGCATTATCACTTCCCACTGTTACCAAAGAGGTAAGTCTAGATAGTAGCAGTGAGTGTTACTCTCATCAATTTCATTTAGGCTTAAAATCTGAAGTGGCTTAGTATACTTGAATTTTCTTTCTTTATTAAATTATATTTACTTTTATTTTTGCAGATTTATTGAGGTATAATTGACATATAAAAATTATAGATATGAGGGGCTGGGGACTGAGCTCAGTGGTACCACGCCTGCCTCACAAGCGCAATGTCCTGAGTTTGATCCCTGGTTCCAAAAAAAATTATAGATATGTAAGATATGATTTTTTTAAGATATGATATTTTGATATATGTATACACTGTGGAGTAATTGCCACACTCAAGCTAATTGATATGTCCATCACCACATGTCGTTACCTTTTCTGACTGTTGAGAAACTAAATATTTACTGTCTTAGCAAATTTCAAGTATATGTTACAGTATTATTAACTATAATCATCATGCTGTAGATTAGATCACCAGAATTTATTCATCTTTTAAGTTTGTACCCTTCACCCATTGGAAGAAAATGGGGCAGCGTTGACAATCACCTACTTTCTCCTTCCATGATGGTATTTTCTTTTATATTAAAATATTTTGACTTTGATTTTTCATGTATGTGAAGTCTTAAATTTTGCTTTATGTCTAAGATAAACTAGCACTAGGAGGCTACTTGGATCTTTAAGGAACACGCAAATCATGGGCTAGCAGATAAAATATCCCGATGCTCAGTAGGTGTAAGAGTTCAGGGAATGGGACAAGCCCTACTTGGAAGGAGGGAGAACAGTGTAATTCTGAGGAGCTGGTGATTAAACTACGTAGGCAGCAAACAAGCTGGACAATTTGCCTGATTAGACCATGGCAAATGCAGATGGAATTACTATCCTCAGGCCCCAGCTCAGAGCAGGATATGGCTCTCCAATGCCATGAAAAAGATTAAAAATGTGTATTAATATTCTCTTGATTTGGAGGCACCTTCTGTTAATAAAAAAAGAAACTATTGTATTGCCTCTTGCCCTTCTATTTAGTAATTCAGGATTCTGGATGTGCTACACAGTTTAGGCTTTCTTCAGGGTTAATGGTTCAGTCAGCGCTCGTAGGAGCTATTCACTGGTATGGTGGGAACAATGGAAATAGATAAAATGTTTTATTGTTCCCTCCTTTTTTAATGAATTGAGTTTATTAGTACATTTTAGGTATACATAGTGATCGCATTCATCATAGGGAATTTGTGCCTGTGCATGATATATCTTGGTTCTTATTACTGTCCCCTTCTTATACCACCAAATATTATCATCCTCTAATTCATAACAAAGAAAGAATGCCTCAGAAAAAAGCATTCCTTGTGTTCTCTGTTGGCATAGTACATAAAACATTTGTTGTGATCTTTTATGTAAACAAGACATGCTGTTGCCCTCTGGGAGCTTACAACTGAAGAGCATATGTGGTGTATATCCACATAACTGTAGCTCAAGGTAGAGAGCATGAAGTGCTAAGATACATACAAATAATTGGTTATGGGAATTTGAAAAGGGAGAAATTACATCCTCCTATTTGATATCAGATGGCATCAGAGGTGGACTGAAAGCTCTGTATAACATGGTTAAAAATGGGCACAAAGGGGAGAAAACAAAGATTTGTTTGCCTGTGCAGTCATGGGAAATAGGGTTGAAAAGGGAAGTGCAACAAGATCTGCCATGTATCTCTACATGGAGGAAGCATCCACGCCTGTGTCTCTAAAGAGGGTCACTAGGACTCCACTGGGTCCCTTCCCTGAACACATGCACAAGGTCTGGGGCTGTAGATATGTATCTTCTGATGTTTGGAATTCCCAGTAGGGTTGATTGTCCTTAGTACTTTTCCTTGATGTCATTTAGCATAGTTGTGATTATTCCATTAAAGTAGCAACCAAGTATGTTTCATTCACCATTTTATTTCTCTGAGTATATCACCTAGCATAGTACCATTCAATAAAGATTCATAGAAAGAATTAAAATACTACTTATCCCATACAAATAAAAAATAGTGTGAATAACAGTAAGCAGGATTTGTAATAAATGTAACTAAGAAATTTGCATACTGTGGAACTATTTCTGTAATAAGAAATATAAGCTGAGCAAATATTTCTTACCTTATCTTCTTTTTTTTTCTAGTGCTGTCTCTATTTGTATTCTTAACAATTCTAAGTACTAAATGTATAGACAGGAATATTTCACTTTTTTTTTTTTTTTTTTTTTTTTTTTTGGTACCAGGGATCAAACTCAGGACCTTGTGCTTGTGAGGCAGGTGGCGGAACCACTGAGCTAAATCCCTGGCCCTCACTTTCTTTTTTAATGAGAACATAGAGTGAAGTTAGTTGTATGTAGAACCATATATCTCTACAAAGGTTTTCAGATTGATTGATGATTTGCTGATCAATTTATTCATTGCCAAAATGTCTACCAGTGCCACAAATTACAAGGAAGTCAGCATAGCCATTAGTTTTGTCTTCCTCCTGTGAACTTGTCTGATATACCTGCCTCTTTCTTGTGCCATTTGTGACTTCTTTCTTGCATTAGTCATTTATAGACATAACTTTTGTCCCTCATTAGGGAGCTCTAATCCCATCACACTGCCACTTGATATTGGGAGTGTCACCTAGTTAGCCTCTAGAGCCCAGGTTCATGTGTGTAAGCACCTTTACATTCCCAGAATTTGAAACTACAGTATTTTTATTGTTCACATGGACTTTTCTTAACTTTGGGGTGATAGTCTCAGATCCTAAGAAACATATCATTTTTAAAATGAAAAGGATTCTTATGTCTAAAGCAGTATAAAATGATTGCTAAATGAAATAATGACTTTGTCAGTGGCCTGAAAATTTTTAACTGGAGGCACCTTTGTTCATTGGCCTTGAGTGTACTGAGAAACCTTAAATATATAAAAAATTGTGTAATATTTTGTTATATAGTGATAGATGTGCTAGTTTGGGGAAAACTATATTTTAAAATTGCTGTAATCTTTTAAAGTGAAATTAATCATCTTTCTATGACAAACAGACTTATAGTAATCTCCAGTATAAGGTATTTTGATAAAGTCAATAACAAAATTGGATTCTGACAGTGGAATCTTAGATTTTTTTCAAATTTCTGCTGCTGCACCTAGGACTCCTTTATATAATAGTTGAGGAGAAAAACAATAATATTAACATGCTGCTGTTTTCATTGTGTCCGCCTACATGAAAGGCTTTCCCCTTCCTGCATCCCACCACTCCAGATCTGGTAGAGAAGAGTCTGGAAATAGCTCTCCACATTACCCACATTCTCACAGATCTGAATCCTGCTTTGTCCTAAGAAATCCACTGTTTCTTTGTAGTGACCTTTGAAAAATATGCCTGCACTCAATCATAATCCTTTTCAAAGGACCCAGACTATGGGAATAAATATGTGAGATTTCATTATGTATTTATATTTTCTTTATAGGATAAAGAGGCACAGACAGAGGTGAAAGCAATAATCAAGTCCTTGAAGAGGTAAATGAAAGAACTCACTTTTCAACAAATCTAACAATCTACTAAAATTTAAGTTTATCAGAGTTGTTTTTATTGTCCTGTTTTCCTTTTAATGTAAAGGAAATGTATTTAAGTTTGAAGGTAAAACCGTATTTCTATGATATACATTCCACTAATAGCATAACAGAATAAATTATGTTATTTGGAGAATATATTTACTATAATATGTGTACATGGTGATTTATAAACACATATGCTTTATGTTTTTTCTATCAATAAACTGTAGCTTTCAGAATATTTTAAAGAAAACATTTAAATAAGTCCAATAAAATGAACTCTAGTGAATATTTTATTGTTTTAATGGAGACCATAAAACCTAATCGTTTCATTAATTGGATGAAAAATGGAAACAATGACCACAGTTGTTGGTAGAAAAACAAAACCAAAAGGATGAATATAATTATTATTTGGGCAAATATGAATAAAATACTGTTTTACTACCAAGTTTGCATAAATTTTTCTCTTCTTTCATGAGACATTTAATATTGGCGATATTGCCATAAGATGAAATATTCTTATATACTGTTAGAGGATATTTTTGCATAACTATTTGATAAAACATATCTAATGTCTCAAAAATATGTTAACTCTAATCTTGTGATTCTACTTCATGGAAATAAAGAAAAAAGTATAAATATTTGTGTGCAAACATTCATAAGAACATAACACTGTGTCTAACAATAAGAAAGCAATTTATCACATTAGAATTTATAATATAATATTATTTTGACATTGAAAATAATTATAAAAATGATATAGGAAAGTGTAAGGAACATCTTAAGAATTCAACAAAATAGTACAATATATGATTTCAACTATATGAAAATATGTACAGAAAAGTAGTGGGAGATACAGTAAAATGATAATAGTTTATATTTCTGTGAGGCTGTATCTTATTTACTGTATTTCCATACTGTATTTTTATTTACTTTCAAAATTTTTTCATTTCTTATAAGTACCTATTAATTTTATCAAATGCTGGATTTCGATGCATATATTTTGATCACATTCATCCTCTCATCACCTTCCCTTACACTTCAGTCCCTCTCCCACTTGCTGTTTTCCTCTATTAAAGTAGACTAGTCTAAATTTTACTTTCATCTCATCATTTTTAGATTCCATATATTAGGGAGAACATGTGATACTATCTTAGTCAATATCCTGATCTCCAGATCCATCCATCTTTCTGAAAATGACAAAATTTTATTCTTTCTTTTCTTTTTCTTTTTTTTTCTTTTTTATGGTACTGGGGATTGAACTCAGGACCTTGTGCTTGCCAGTCTGGCATGACGCCACTGAGCTACATCTCCGGCCCCAAAACTTTGTTCTTTACAGCTGGATAATACTCAATTGTGTATATAAACCATGTTTTCTTTATCTATTCATTTGTTGATAGGCACCTAGGCTGGTTCCATATCTTGGTTATTATAAATTGTGCTGCAGTACTCATTGGTATGCTGGGAACCCTATAGTATGATGACTTTTTTTGTTGTTACTGGGGATCAAACTCGGGACCTTGCACTTGTGAGGCAGGCGCCATAATCACTGAGCTCAATCCCCGGCCCTAGTATGCTGGCTTTAACTTCTTCAAATGTATACCAAGTAGTAGTATAGTTACATCAAATGATAGTCTACTTTTAGTTTTTTGAGGAACCTCCATATTGATTTCCTAGTGGCTATACTAATTTACATTCCTACCAGCATATAGAAAGGATCCTTTACCCCTACATTCTCCCCAGCACTTATTTTTTTGTATTCTTGGTGGTCATTGTAACTGAGGTGACATGGCATCTCAATATAGTTTTGATTTTCAACTCCCTAAAAACGAAAGATGTTGAACATTTTTTTAATATACTTGTTGGCCTCTTGTACTTCTTTTGAGAAGGGTCAATTCAGTTCCATTGCTCATTTATTTATTGACTATTTAATTGTTTTGATTGCTTTTTAATACTTTATATATTCTAGCTATTAATCCTGTGTTAAAAGAGTGGCTGGGGGGCTGGGGATTTAGCTCAGTGGTTTTGCCGCCTGCTGCACAAGTGCAAGGACCCGAGTTCGATCCCCAGTACCTAAAAAAAGAGTGGCTGGCAAAGATGTTTTCACATTCCATAGGTTGTTTCTTCATTCTGTTGGTTGTTTCATTTTAAATTTGATGTAGTCCTGTTTACTGACTCTTGATATTATTTCCTGTGCTATTGGAGTCCTATTTGAGAAGTCTCCGCCTGTGCCTATGGCTTCAAGTGATTTTTCTCTTCTTCCAGCAGTTTCAAAGTTTCTGGTCTTACACCTAGGCACTTTATCCATTTTGAAATTGATTTTTATTTTTGGTGAAACAAAGGGGGTCTAGTTTCAATCTTGTATATATGGATTTCCAATTTTCCTGGCTCCATTTGTTAGAGGCTATCTTTTTTCCAATACATTTTTTTACTCCTTTGTCCAGAATCAGATGGCTATAGTTGTGTGGGTTTTTCTGTGTCCTCTATTCCTTTCCATTGGTCTATTTGTCTATTTTTGTGTTGGTTCCATGCTTTTTTTGTTGTTGTTACTATGGCTTTGTAGTATAATTTGAAATTGTATATTGGGATGCCTGCAGCCTTGCTCTCTTTGCTTAGGATTTATTTGGCTACTCTGGGTCTTTTGTGTTTCTACGTGAATGTTAGAATTTTTTTTTTCAGTTCTGTGAAGAATGTCATTGGTATTTCAATGGGGATTGCATTAAATCTGTAGATTGCTTTTGGTAATAAGTCCATTTTAGTAAATCAATTCTGACAATCCACGAACATGGTAAGTCTTGCCATCTTCTAGTGCATTCTTCAGTTTTTTCAGTGTTATGAAATTTTCATTATAGAGGTCCCTTGCTTCCTTGGTTAGATTAATCCATAGATTTTTTGGGAACTATTGTGAATGAACTTGTTTTTCTGATTTCTTTCTCAGCTAACCCACTGTTAGTGTATAGAAAATCTATTGACTTTTAGTGTTGATTTTATATCCTGCTATCTTGCTGAATTCATTTATCAACTCTAAGTCTTTTGGTGGAATCTTTAGGGTCTTTTAAGTGTAGGATTATACCATCTGCAAACAAGAATAATTTGACTTCTTCCTTTCCTGTCTGTCCCTTTTATGTCTTTCTCTTGCTTATTTGCTTAAGCTAAAATTTCAAGTACTATACTGAATAGGAGTAATGGGAGTGGAAACACTTGCCTCATTTCTGATTTTCGTGGAAATGCTTTCAGTCTTCCCCCATTCAGAATGGGCTGGGGTTTTAGCTCAATGGCACCATGCCTGCCTTGCAAGTGCAAGGTCCTGGGTTTGATCTCTGGTATCACAAAAAAAAAAAAAAAGAAGAGGAAGAGGAAGAAGAAGAATGTTAGCTGTGGTTTGTCATATATGGCTTTTACTGTATTGAAGTATGATCCTTCAGTACCCAATTTCTTCAGGGCTTTTACCATGAAGGGATGTTGAATTTTTGTCAAAAGCTTTTTCTGCATCAACTGAAATGATCATGTCATTTTTATCTTTGGTTCTATTTATGTAGTGTATTTATTGATTTATTTATATTGAACCACCCTTGCATCCTTGCAGTGAAATCAACTTCATCATAGTGTATGATATTTTTAATGTGTTGTTGAATTTGGTTTGTATTCTACTAAGAATTTTTGCCTCTGTGTACATCAAGGGTATTGATATATAGTTTTCTTTTTTTGTTGTGTCCTTGTCCAGTTTGGGTATCAGAGTGATGTTGGCCTCATAGAATGAGTTTGGAAGCATTCCTTCCATTTCTATTTCATGGAATAATTTGAGGAGCTTGATGTTAATTCTGCTTTAAAGGTGTGATAAAATTCAGCAGTGAACCTCTCTGGTCCTGGGCTTTTCTTTGTTGGGAAACTTTTTGTAATTGCTTTCAATGTCATTGTTTGTTATTGATCATTTCAGATTTTTTTTAAACCCTCTTAATTCCATTTTGGTAGGTCATATGTGTCTAGAAATTTATCCATTTCTTTTAAATTCTCCTGTGAGAATATAGGTTTTCAAAGTATCCCTGTTAATCCTCTGGATTTCAGGAGTGTCTGTTATAACATTCCCTTTTTCATCTCTAGCTGCATTGATTTGGATTGTCTGTCTTTCTTTTGGGTAGTTTGGCTAAGTATGAATCAGTCTTGTTTATTTTTCAAAGAATCAACTCATTTTAATCATTTAATGATTTCTTTCAATCTATATTTCACTAATTTCAACTGTAATCTTTATTATTTCTCTCCCTGAGTTTGGTTTTGGTTTGTTCTTGTTTTTCTAAGACCTTAGGATGCATCATTAGTTTATTTATTGGAAGGCTGTCTGATTTTTTAATGTAGGCATTCATAGCCATAAACTTCTTTCTTCGAACTGCCTTTTCTGTGTCGCGGGGATTTTGGTATGTTGTGTTTCCATTTTTATTTGATTTTAGGAATTTTTTAATTGCCTCCCTGATTTCTTCAGTGACACACTGATTGTTCAGAAGTGAATTGTTCAATCTCCATGTGCTTATATAGTTACTATAGTTTCTCTTGCTGTTGATTTCTAGTTTTATTCCATTATGACCTTATAAGATGCAAGAAATTATTTTAATTGTTTCATTTGTTAAGTCTTTCCTCATGGCCTAAAATATGATCTCTTTTGGAGAACATTCCATGAGCTGCTGAGAAGAATATATATTCTGTAGTTTTGAATGAAATGTTCTGTAGACATATGTTAAGTCTGTTTGTTGTATGGTGTAGTTTAACTTTGATTTTTTTTGTTGTTTTTGATTTTTTTTGTTGTTGATTTTTTTTGAGGGGGTGACCTATCTGTTGGTGAGACTAGAGTATTGAATATACTTAATATTTTTGTGCTGGCACCTATGTGCCCCTTTATGTTGAGGAGTGTTTATTCTATGAACAGTGGGTGCACTAGTGTTTATTGAATTTATACAATGGACCCTTGACTTC